GGAAAGAGCTGCTGGTCCCACTTACCAGCTCGGTATCCTCCAGCCGGCGTGTGCAGCCTGTACTGATCTACCCCTTAACCCTTCAGGCCCCAGGAAGCAGCCTGCTCAGCCCTCCAGGGGGCTTTATTAGCAGGGGTCACACTGGTGGCTGGGGTACTGGCTGGGAGAGTTAGAGCGGGTCACTTCCTCGCATCCAGTGTGGTTAGGCAGTGAGCTCCTGGGGCAGCTATGCTCTCACTCGGCGTGTGGCACCCAGCACAGCAGGCTGAGCCAGGGCAGGGCCTCAGGGCCGTAACACAACTCACTTGGCCCCCAGAGTTCAGCTGGTAGCCCCCAGTATAACCGGGTTGCTCTTATACAGCCCCTCCCTTCCTTCCACCTGGGCTTTCCTTAACTCCATCAGATGTATGTGCCGGGGAAGCTCTCAGATGTCAACCACGTCCTCATCGACGTGGGGACTGGCTACTACGTAGAGAAGGTGAGAGGGACTCCGGGCTGGGAGGGGGTCATACCTGCCCAGGAAACTCTGTTTAATCCCTCCCCAACCCATCTCTGTAAAAAGTCCAGCTGCTTCGTGAGTGACTGGCCATGTCCCTGGTAGGGTCCAGGTCTGGGGGATTCCAGGGTCTCCTAATCCAACCCCCTGCACAGACGCAGGGTTCACTGATAGCACCTGGCTACCTGGGTAGCCCAGTGTTTGCCATGTTACATGCCTAGAAGTGGGAATCTCGCAACCTCTTCCCCTTTGCAGTCGGCTGACAATGCCCGGGATTTCTTCAAGCGGAAGATCGATTTCCTGACCAAGCAGATGGAGAAGATCCAGCCGGCGCTGCAGGAGAAGCACACCATGAAGCAAGGTAGGCATGGGCAGCCCAGGTCTGGCACCAGGGCCTTGTCCACAGTTGATGCCAGCTCTGCTCATCATGCACCTTTCCCCCTTGCAGTTGTGACAGAGGTTTTGAGCCAGAAGATCCAGCAGCTCGCAGCCGTGGGAGCCTCACAGGCAGCCACCACCAAGGCATAGCCCTCAGCCGTGGCCTGCGCTAGCCCTCAGCCTCGCCTGGGGACATTGCACTCAGGCAGAAGCCAAGAAGCTGCTGGGGACGGAGCTATGGAGCCCCTGCCCCCTGCGGGAGGCCGTGCAGGTTCTGTCCTGTCACATACGTGCCGTGTCCACCCAGGGGACCCCCCCTCTTTTTTTTATATGTTGCACATGCTGTTGGTGTCTGGGAGAAATAAAGAATGGAGAACCAGCGTTGTGTGTGTCCATGAGCTTTTGGTTGGGAGGCAGAGGGGGCTGGAAAAGGCAGGGATAAGGAGAAGCTGTTCCCAGGCTAGTGGGACAGTAGGTTGGTGTTTGGGGTGGAGGTGGGGGCATGGGTCTCTACTTGGAGCTGGGACACAGGTGAGGGGCCAGCACTGCGGTTGCCACAGGGCAGAGCTCTGCTTCCAGGGTCCTGCACCCTTTGGGGTGGGAAATGGGAAACCCATTGAGCTGTGGCAGGAGTAGCCCTGAGGGTGGGCAGCTCTGGAAGGGAGTCAGGCCCTGGTACCCCCTTTCCCCTCCACTAGGAGCAGGGTCCAAGCCCAGGGCTCTGATGAAGCAGGGGAGCACAGGCACTGCTCAAGAAGCAGCTGGAGTCAGGCACTGGCTAGAGGCCACAGGAGAGGGGCAGGATGATCCCTGCCAGTCTTTGAGCAGCATGTAAAGTTTCAGCACCACATCCTCCCCAGACTGGGGAACACTCCTAGGGAGCGGGAGGATGAGGGTCCCTGCAGCTCCTTTGAAGGTGTCTTGGGCCCTGTCTGGAGCCAAGCACCTGCCTGGGCCACAAAGCTAGGGCTCTTCCCAGCTGCCTCTGGTGCAGCACTGATCGTCGCTTGCTGCAGGGAAGTCTCCTGCTGCAGGCACCTGTCACCTCCCTGCAGCCAGTCCAGGTCTGGGGGGCAGGGGGACAACTGGAGAGGTACATCCCTCTGCCCCACCACCGAGCCCTGCCCTGCCCTGTCCACGGGGGACACAGCACGGGCAGGGCTGCTGCTTACCACCCATTCCTCACCGTTGTTTAAGGCTTGGTTGGTGCCAGTTCTGGAGTCAACCCCTCTCAGGGGAGATAGGTGTGATCCCTCCACCCCTGCTCCCGCTCTCCCAGCCAGTGCCCCCTCCCCCAAGTCACAAACCAGCCACACTCCCCGAACAGGAGAACTTTATTCTACAGACAAGGCCCTGTCTAGCCACGCGCCATTGTGCCACCTCCTGCCAGGAGAGGACGCCCTTGCCCGGCTGTGCCAGGGCTGAGCAGCCGCCTTGTGGAGTATTATGGCTTCTACCTTAAGCACTCCCCGCCCCCCCTACCCCGTAGTATCTATAGGCTCTGTCCCTTATGGGTTTTCTGAGGTCTGGGTTCCAAAGGCTTTGGCCACGGCCAGCCACGTGTCAGTGCCACGGATGGGCCAGCAGCCCCGCCTGGCAATCTAGGAGGTGTCCACGTTCGTAGTGATGCAGCGGATGGCCTGTTTCGGCCATCCTGAGGGTGGTCACGTGGCTGGCAGTCCTGCTGGGCATGGGGTGATGTGGCTGGATGTCCGTGGCCACATGCAGCAGCCCTGTGACAGGCAGGCTCAGTAGCATACTACATGGCCACGTGACTGCTCCAGTCGTGCTAATCCAGTGGGCAGTCAAGTGATGCGCTGTGGCCACGTTCAGCGACTTGTGTCTAGCCATGATCAATGCCTGTGGATCCCATGGTAGGGCCATTCAGCAGCATCCTATGGGGCCACGGGACAGCTAGAGTCACTCTTAGGATTTGCTGATCCCATGGGCAGCCAAGTCCATGAGCTCTGGCCACGTCCAGTTATTCTGTGGCCAGCCCTGCTCAAGGCCTGTGGATCCCATGGCCAACCCTATTCAGCAGCATCCAGTAGGGCCACGTGACAGCCGCAGTCATGCTCCAGGCATGCCAAGCCCATAGGTGGCCAAGTGATGAGCTGTAGCCACATCCAGCAAATCCATGGCTGGCTCCGTGGCTGGGCCTGCTCAGTGCGCGTGGATCTCGTGGCCAGCCCCACTCAGCAGCATCCTCCAGTGCCACAGGATGGCCCCGGCCCCAGCTCCGGGCTCAGCGCACAAAAAGGGGCTTGTGCACCACCCGCTTGTGTCGGTTGAGCGTGGCACTCTTGGAGAAGCTCTCCCCGCACTCCACGCAGATGTAGGGCTCATGGCCGTGGGCCTCGGCACGGTGTCGCTCCAGCTCGGCGCCCTCGCGGAAGGCCTGGGGGCAGTCGGGGCAGGCAAGGGCCGGGCGGGCGGCGTGCACGCGCTGGTGCTTGAGCAGGTTGGTGCTCTGGGCGAAGCCGCGGCCGCAGTCGGGGCAGCGGTGGGGGCGGGCGCCCGAGTGCGTGCGCTGGTGCTTGATGAGGTTCTTGCTCTGAGTGAAGCTCTTGCCGCACTCCCCGCAGGCGTAGGGCTTCTCGCCCGTGTGTATGCGCTGGTGCTGGATGAGGTTGGAGCTCCAGCTGAAGCGCTTGCCGCAGTCCCGGCAGGCGGAGGGCTTCTCGCCCCGGTGCGTGCGCCG